TATATATATATTTCTATAGTGTGTAGTAGTGGCCTTGGACTGTAAGACAGGAATAATAAAGTACCATACACACGTGTACTTAATCGGTACCTCAACATGTACTGTGTATGTAAAGTATGTTCAGTTTATATGACTATGTAAATATATATATGTATATATATATTTAACGTTGTCAATGTAGGTAGATCACTTCAGCCTGGTTATTTAAACTGTAGCTCCCGAGTCAAAAAAGAGTGAACACCCCTGCTCTAACACGCAGTCGATATACGTTTTAATTTACGCCGAGCGCAGGGCAGTACGTCGGTCTACGGCTGACTGACAACTGTCGAGTGGATTGCAAAGGGATTGATTGACTGATTAATATTGTTGAAGACAATCACTTTAACGTTTACCCGATGGATTTAAAATACTTAGCATGATGTACAGGATAACTACATGACAGAGTGGAAAGCTAAAGGATAGCTTGATAGCCCTGGAGCAACCAAATAAATCCTCACCTCGAGGTAAAGCTGACCCTGAGCTATGACTTTGGAAATAAACTAAAAAATTAATCTTCAAATTTAAGCTTGAAAACTATATACAGGACACAACGGCTTCTCTTCTCCTTCCATATGCTAGAAATAGCACTTCCTGCAGGAGCTGCTGGGACTCTCCCTCCATGCAGGGTAAATAGAGCTGATGGAGAATCCAGGTGGAGTCACAGGTGGAGGTTGGGGATAATGTGTCAGAGGAATTTGACTCCCCAGCTGTTTTCATCTGCAGCAGTGACACACGGGATCTGTGTTTTCCAGTGATTTTCAATCCCCCTTGTGTCTACTGATTCTCTTTAGTTTTACACTTTAAACAAATACCACTTATTGGTTTTAAAAACACTAGTTTCGTACACATAAAATCCTTTACGGGTTTTCTGAACGCAGTACTCTGTCTGGTAGACAGTAAAGGTAAAGGACGGTTAGAAAGAAAAGTAGGTAGAACAAGAAAGAGAAAAAAATATATAATAGACAGCACTGCAAGCAGTAGTGGTTTTTTAGTTTGAAGTAAATGTAGAGATGATAAAACAAAATTAGCAAAATATCATTTGAAAGTATTTTATCAGGCCAAAAGGTGACATTGAAGCCACTCAAAAGTGTTAGAATTTCTCATAACATCACGGGTTTCTATAAGAAATTAAGAAAGACCCGAACAGTTGTATTTTCAATAGCGCTGCCAAAAGTATTGCATCAATTTTTTAAATATAAATAATGATAAAAAAATATAGAATATATGTAAAAATGTGCTTTATGTTTGTCTAAAAATGTTTTAAATTAATGAATGGCACCGTGTCTGGATAAATTTGAAAATGAGAAGCAAATTTTTGCTTTGAGATACGAGCACGCTTACAGACGCCGACGCTGTTCGTCAACTTCCGTACGCATCTCCCACAAGTCTTCCATATTGTGTTTGCGTTATCTACGGGATTTTCTCTCTAC